TTTGGGCTTGGGGGGCGTCGATGGGCTTGGCGCGTCGATGGGCTGGGCGCTCTGATGATTGGGCGCGTCGATGGGCTTGGGGCGTCGACGGTTAGAGGCTCGGTAGATCGTCCGAACGCAAGACGGTAAAACAAACACGCACACACCCTTGACCTGGCCCAGCCTGACCTGACGGGACACCCCCCTGAGACTCCGAGGCGTTCAAGCTTGTGGCTTTTCCTCTGGGCTGCAGGCTGCAGGCTGCAGGCTTCAGGCTTCAGGCAGCGCACGGCCGACAGCACGGTCCCGATCACGACAGCGGTCCCGATCACGACAGCCCTCCTTGGTACCTCCATGGTACAGTAAGGTAGGTAAAGGTCGGTCCTTGGAAAGGCCTTGGGGTGGAGGCAGATGGCCTCGGGAAGTTTCACAGAACGGCGCCAAAACAAATCGACCAAACATCGCGGCGGCAGATCACTCATTTGTTCGGAGCTGATCATTTCGAGCTCGGTGTCCCGTCTGTGCTGGTGCTGCTGCTCATGGACCGCAGGTGTGTCTTGTTACCAGGCTTGGCTCGTCATGGCCACAGCCAGGGCCGTCATGGCCACGGCCACGGCCATCCGAGCATGCATCGTCACCTCACGGCACGCAATATACCCGCGCCGCCACATGTGCCCCTCCTATACATGTACACGTACCATACAATGCAGCATGCCTGCTGCGTCTTGCGCTGTATGCAATGTGGGCGAGGTATGCCCGAAGGATAAGCACGTCTCAGCAGCCTAGCACGCACAGCGAGAGAAGCCTGGCCCAGACCTCGTCTCTCGGCGACGACAAGAACAGCTCAAGGCGTCATGTAAGCTTCTCCCCGCGCAAGACAATAGTAAGCTGGGACAATCTCCTTTGTCCCTCCTCCACAGCCGCGCCGGAATTGAAAGAAAATGGGAATCCAGCTCTGCGGTTCTCGATCACGGAATTGTCATCAAATCCTCAAGTCCCCGAGTTGGCTTCCGGGTAGGATAGCGTGGCGCCCAAACCAGGCTTAGCTTCTCTAA